ACAGGCCAGCCTCGGGGCCACCGCCGAGCGCGGCCACCACCGCTGCTGTCCCCGAGAGCCACGCGGGGACCAGGGGACACTTCTACTGTCCCTCCCCACAGCGTCACCCCCTGCGTCCCACCCTGGCGACAACGGGGGCCGGGGGGTGCCGGGACACGGAGGGGTTTGGGGAGGGGGGCTCCTTTCCAGCAGACCCCCCCTTTGGATGCTCCACCGGGGTGACCCCGAGTTTAACCCCACTTACGGCGCCGGCAGACGCTGTCCCCAGCGCAGATGGGTTGTGACAGCCGAGAAGTCCCCCCGGCGGGCGCTGGCGAGGCGCTGGCCGCGCGGGGGGGGTCCGCGAGCCCCGTGTCACCGCGCGTTGGCTCCGTCACCTCCCCGCAGCGAGGCGGCGGCTCCGGGCCGGCCCGCGGCTCCCCGGGGCCCGGTGGCACTTGTCGCTCCGCGGCAGCCGCGGTGGCGCTGGGCACATGGCAGCCGTGTCCCCCCCGCCACGGCTGGGGACGGGGAGGGGGCGCAGCGAGGAGCCGGTCGCGGGCAGCAGGGACACGGCGGCTCGGCCGGGAGGGGACACGGCCTGGCTGCCCCTGGGTGTGAGGGGCAGGAGCTGCCACCAGCGCTGTCCCCTGTCCCCAGGTGTGGAAACCTCCGGGAGGGGCCGGGAGCTGCTGGCACAGCTGTGGGACAGGGGACAGCAGGGCAGTGACAGGCGGGGGACAGCAGAACCGGGGGGACACAGGGAGCAGCCCCGCTGGGGTGAGGCAGGGACAGGACTGAGGCACCTGGGAGTGATGGGGGCACCTGGAGGGATGCTGGCACCTGGAGCACAGCTGGGCACGGTGCCAGGGGTGTGCTGGCACCTGGAGCACCGGTTTGATGAAGGCACCCAGGGTGACCTGAGGACCCCAGAGTGATGCTGGCACCAGGGCGATGTTGGCACTGGTTTTCCAGCCTGGATACGGGTACCCAGGGGTGTGCTGGCACCTGGAGCACAGCTGGACACGGTGCCAGGGGTGTGCTGGCACCTGGAGCACAGCTGGACACGGTCTCTGGCACTGGGTCTCCAGCCTGGGCACACCCAAGGGTGATGCTGGCACCCCGCTGGATGAGGCACCTGGGTCACCTCAGTGTGCCTGGGGTGGTTTGGGCACTTTGGGGGCTCCAGGCACCCCGGGAGGGGCTGAGGCTCAGCAGCTCCGGGCCCTCTGCAGCAAAGCCGGGCTCCGATCCGAGCGCGGGGCCAGGGCAGCTGTCCCCAGGGGGTGCCAGCGGGGTCCCCCCCCCGGGGCAGCCCCTCCATTTCTTATAAACGCCTCTGGCGCGGCTGTGCCGTGACACGGCAGCTCTGGGCTTGTGGCTCTGCCCCAGGGCTCCGGCTTTGAGTCACACCGGATCCCCGCACCCAGGGGCGCCCACGGCAGGAAAAAAACCCTCAGGCGGCAGCCGGCAGCCGGCCGGGCACTTCCTCGCACAGCCGTTTCCTATAAACCCCGGCCCAGGGGACGCCGAGGTGGCAGCGCGTCCCCTGGGCCGGGCTGGGGGTCCCCGCAGCCCCCCGGGAGCCCCGGCTCGCGGGGATCCCTTCGGGAGGGGGGAACGGCCGGGAATGGGATCCCAGCGCCACCCCAGAGGGCACCAGAGGTGACCCTGAGCGACACCGGGGGGACAGGGACAGTGCCATCCCTCCACAGCGTCCCCGGTGCCCGTGTCCCTCCCCCTGCAGGGGGAGCGGGGCCCAGCAGAGAGAATTGTTTCGTTTTTCCCCTAAATGATAAAAACACCGAGAAAGGGGAAAAAAAACCCCAACCCAACTGAGAGCTGGAAAAAGAAACCTTAAAGGTGCCCGAAATAAGAGGGGGTTTTGCTGGGAAAAACAATAAAATGAAGCTAGGAAACAGTGAGGTGTGACCCGCTGGCATGGGGACACGGGGGACACGGGGGACAGGGGGACACGGGGGACCCCGCTGGCATGGGGACACGGGGACACGGGGACCTGGGGGACAGGGGGACACGGGGACACGGGGGACAGGGGGACACGAGCCAGGTGTGTCCCACCAGGGGCAGGGGGCACAGCCGGGATGGGAGGCTGCTGCACAGCCCTGGGTGGCCTTGGGGACAGGGCCCTGTGCCGCTGCTGCGACATCCCCGGGGTTCAGAGGGGACAATTCCATCGGGAAAGGTGACAAACCCCAGCCCCTGTCGCCGCAAGAAGCCCCCGCAGCCCATCCCTGTGACGCTGAGGCAGGCCTGGCTTGTCCCTTGTCGCCGCAGCTGGCACAGCCAGGCCACACGGGGGACCTGCGGCTCCAGCCGGACTCGGGACGCCACCAAGAGCCACCAAACGCCACCTTGTCCCCTGCCCGGCACCGCGGGGACAGCGGGGCCACATCCCCCGGGGCAGCGCGGCTGAGGGGCTGCGGGGTGGCTCTGGGGACACTGCGGGGGTGGCACCGCGGTGGCGGGGTGGGGAGGGCACCCCGTGGGACAGCGCTGTCACCCAAGGCACAGCCCGGCGCTGCGGTTGGCAGCTCGGGGGGGTCGCAGGAAATGGGGCCACAACCCCCCCAGGACACCCCCGCTTCCCTCCGCAGCGGAGTGGGAAAGGGAAACTGAGGCACGGGGCAGCCGTGGGAGCCGCAGCGGGGTGGGCTCAGGGGGTCCCCAGGGGTGACAGAGGGGGCGCTGCCCCCCACCCTGCTGCCGGGAGGTGACAAAGTGCCCGGCATGGCACCGAGCCCCGTGGGACCCCCGGGAGCGGCTTCGGGAGCCCCCAGACTCACGCGGGGACGCTGCGGCACCGGGTGACACCTCCTGAAGGGACGGCGGCGCTGGGGGGCCCGGGGGGTCCCCGCGGGGCCGGGGGGAGCCCGGCAGGTGCTGAGTCAGCGGCCGCCGCCCCCGGGGGGAAGCGGGGCCGGGACGGGGCCGGGATGAGTAACGGCGGCCGCCGTTTGGCATTTATCACGTGATTTCAAAAAAAGAGAGAAAAATCCGGGGGAGAAGCTGGGGGGGGGCACTGGGCTCCGAGCCCCGTCCCAGCTGGGGACAGCCCTGTCCCAGCCCTGTCCCAGCCCCGTCCCAGCCCCGTCCCAGCCCCGTCCCAGCCCCGTCCCAGCCCTGTCCCAGCTCAGGCTTCGTCCCCACGCGGGAGCCTTCGGGGACCCGTCCCTGCAGCATCTCGGCCCCAGGGGGGGTCACCGCGTCCCCCCGGCTCTGTCCCCTCCCTCCGGCCCCCCTGGAGCTGCCGGTGCCCAGCCGGGGGGCGATGCTGGGCAGGGGCCGCTCTTCCTGCGCCGTGCCCGGGCAGAGCGGAGATGGGGGCGATAAGAGGGCGGCCCCGCTCCTTATCTCCTCGCACCATCGGCCCGCGGGCCGGGAGCCGCCCTCGCACCCTGCTGGGGCCGGGCCGGGACCCCCCCGCAGCCCCCGGAGCGCGGAGCTCAGCCCGGGGGGCTCCGCCGGGGCTGCCCCCGCCCGGGGGTCCCGCAGCGCTGGCCCCGCGCCCCCGGCCCGCAGGAGGGGCTGTGGGACCCCCAACGACACAGGGCAGGGAGGGAGGGAGGCGCGGAGCTCCCCCCGCCCAGGAAAACCGGCAGAACCCCCCCGCCACCATCGCCCCCGGGTCTGGCCCTGTCCCTGCTGTCACCACCAGCCTGGCGAGCTCTGTGCTCTGTGCCCCTTCCGATTGTCCCGTTTGTGTCACCCAACAAACCCCAGCCGGGAGCTGCAGGGCACCCCAAACCCCGCCACCGCCCCAAACTGCGACCCCGGCCCCAAACTGCGACCCCGGCCCCAAACTGCGACCCCGGCCCCACTGGACCCCCCTCTCCCCCCGCGGGGTCCCCAAGAGAGGAGCCGCCTCCGCCCCCTCCGGGGCGTTCCGAGCGCTGGAAAGGTTTTATTGGAGTCGGTGGTCGCAGCAAGGGCGGGTCCCCCCTCCCGGGGGTCCCGGCGTGGGGCGGGGGGCCGCGCCCGGCCGGGCCCCCGGCGCTGGGGGTGCGCTGTGACACGGGGGGGACATCATGCAGCGCGGAGCGGCTCGGGGAGGGGGGGGCTGCCGCGGCCCCCCCGCGCCCGACCCCAGCCGGGAGCTGCAGGGCACCCCAAACCCCGCCACCGCCCCAAACTGCGACCCCGGCCCCAAACTGCGACCCCGGCCCCAAACTGCGACCCCGGCCCCATCCCAGGGGGCTCCTCCAGCTGGACCCCCCTCTCCCCCCGCGGGGTCCCCAAGAGAGGAGCCGCCTCCGCCCCCTCCGGGGCGTTCCGAGCGCTGGAAAGGTTTTATTGGAGTCGGTGGTCGCAGCAAGGGCGGGTCCCCCCTCCCGGGGGTCCCGGCGTGGGGCGGGGGGCCGCGCCCGGCCGGGCCCCCGGCGCTGGGGGTGCGCTGTGACACGGGGGGGACATCATGCAGCGCGGAGCGGCTCGGGGGGGGGGGGGCTGCCGCGGCCCCCCCGCGCCCGGCGGCTTTGAGGTAGATCGAACGTGGGGGGACGGGGGTGACAGGGTGGGGGGCTCAGCGTGAGCAGCCGCCTGCAGCCCCCGGCTGAAGCGGGGCGTGCTGCTCCTCCGGGGTTCGTTTCTCAGCAGCATCGCTGTGGGGGGGAAATTTGGGGGGGAGGGGGCGCTTTTAATGTAAAAGAGAGGAAATGCTTGAACCGGCGGGACGAGGCAAGGGGACCCCGAGCAGCAGCTGCCCCCCGCCCCCAGCCCCGAGCCCAGCCGCGACCCCCGGGCCGGGGGAGGGCGGCCCCTCCCCTCCCCTGCTCCTGGGGGCCGGGCCCGGGACTCGGCCCCGCGGATCCTCCCTGAGATCGAGCGGCGACACTCGAGGGGACAGGGGACACCCGGGGCACCGGCGGGCCCCCTCCTGCCGCCGCCTGGCACGGCGTGCTCCCGGGAGCGGGGCCGGGGCTCGAACCGGGCACGGGGCGAGGCGGGCGGGGAGGGACCCGCTGCGAGCGGGCTGCTCCGAGGGGCTCCGGGGGCTCCGAGGGGCTCCGGGGGCTCCGGGTGAGGGCGGGGGGCTCAGTCTTTCCGTAGCTACTGAAGACTTGGAGGTATTTCGGGAGCCGGGCGCTCCCGGCGTGTTTCCATGCAGCATCCAAAGGTGGGGAGGGGGCCCGGGCTCAGATCTTGCTGTTCTCCAGGTGCGAGTCGATGTGTTTGACCAGGGCATCGTCCGGGTACCCGATGGGGAAGGCCAGCTGGCACAGCGGGCAGCTCCGCACCTCCGAGTCCACCGTCTCCAGCAGCAGCTGCGGGGGGCACAGGGCGACGCTGAGACCCCCCAGAACCCCCCCCCAACACCGCCCCCAGCCGGCTGACAAACGGGGAAACTGAGGCACGCCGCCTCGCTGCGGGGCGCCGCGGCTCGGGGGGGGCTCCCTCGGTGCTCCCCACGGCCAAACCCCCCCAAAGCCCCGCGGGGAGACCGGGGGGTCCTTCTTACGTTGATGGAAGGCCAGGACTGGGCGTGCTCGGCGCGGGCGTAGGCGGCCGCCGTCCGGTGCGCGGCGTCGGGGTCGGGCACGGGGAAGCCGGCGCAGAAGGAGGCGCAGCGGATGGCCCCGGCCTCGGGGCTGGGCGGGCTGGGCAGCGCCCACTCCTCCTCGTCCGACGACTGCTTCTCGAAGCGGACGTGCTCCTCGAAGGGCTCGCGGGCGCTCAGCGGCGCCCCCGCGCCCCCCAGGTACAGCTCGCCGTAGGGCCGGGGCTTGGGCAGCGTGGAGGCCTCGGGCTGCAGCCAGAGCGAGCGGCTCTGCTGGTACAGCGCCACGTTGGTCACCTCCGAGTAGCTGCGGCGGCCCTGGAAGCCGGCCTTGATGTGGCGGCTCGAGGGCTTGGCGTAGGCCAGCTCCGTCCTGTCGCCGGGCAGGCGGTGCGGGGACGCCGAGCCGGGCGAGGGGCAGGGCGGTGGCACCGGCGAGCGGCGCTGCTGGGCCGGCGACTGGCTCGGAGGTGGCACCGGGGAGCGGCGCTGCTGGGCCGGCGACTGGCAAGGGCCGGGGGCCGGCGAGCGGCGCTGCTGGGCCGGGGACTGGCTCGGGGGTCCCGGCGAGCGGCGCTGCAGGGCCGGGGATTGGCACTGGGAGCGGCCCGGGGGGACGGGCGAGGGGCACTGCGGGGCGGGCGAACGGCGCTGCTGGGCCGGGGAGTGGCACTGCGACAGCGGCGAGTGGCGCTGGCCTGGCACGGGACAGGGGCGACACACAGGGGGGAAACGCTGGGCGTCAGCGCGGCGGCGCGGGAGGCGTGGAAGGTGTGGGAAATGTGGGAAATGCAGAAAATGTGCCTCGGCATCCAGGGGCATCCCGGAGGGAGGGGACGCGGCTGTGGGGACCCCCAGAGGAATGGGAGATTGTGGGGGGGATGCAGCCAGGGAGGGATGGTCCCAGGGATGGATGTTTTGGGATGGGACATTCCCAGGGATGGGTGCTCCCAATTATGGGTGGTTTTGGGATGGATGATCCCAGGGATGGATGTTCTTGGAATGGGAAGTTCCCAGGTGTGGATATTTTGGGATGGGTTACTTGCAGGTGTGGATATTTTGGGGTGGGACACTCCCAGGTATGGGTGCTCCCAGGTGTGGATACTTTTGGGATGGAATGCTCACAGGTACAGATATTTTGGGATGGTTACTCCCAGGGATGGATGTTTTGGGATGGACGCTCCCATGGCTGGGCCCCCTTGGGGTTCGATTCCCGCTGGAGCTCACCCCCACGTGCAGGACGAGCTCCCCCGCCCCCTTCCCGGTGTTCGTGCCCCCCACCCTGCCCGGGGGTGCCCCTCACCCCCGCTGAGGCTCTTGTCCTGCAGCAGCGCCCGCAGGATCTGGCTCTGCAGCGAGCTGAGGTTGCGCAGGCGGCACAGCTCCTCCGTCAGCTCCGTGTAGGCCAGCGCCAGGTTCACCCTGCGGGCAGAGGGTCCCTGGGGCTCAGGGGGGAGCCCTTCGGGGGGTCAGGCCCCAGGAAACCCCTCAGGAGGGTCAAACCCTTCCGCAGGGGTTAAATCCTCCAGCAGGGGTGGAATCCTTCAGCAGGACTTGACACCCCTTGGAATTTTGGTTGGTTTGGTTTTGGTGGGTTTTTTTGGGTTTTTTTGTTTTTAAATACAACTAAAAAAGGTTTAGTGCTGCTGGCTGGATGGTGCTTCCAGCATTCCTCCAGGAAACTCCTGAGGAAATCATGGCCCGGGGTGAAAAAAGCACCTCAGGGTGTCTGAAGTTCCCTGTCCCACCACCCAAACCAGAGGACAATTCCCAAAGGGGACACGGCGGCTCTGAAGGTGACACAGCCCCGCTGTCCCCCCAGAACCAACTCCAAACCAACCCAAATCCATTTTTTTCTCCCAGGGGAGCCGCGGATCGCGCTCCGGGAGCAGCTGGAGGGGAAAGGAGGGAAAGGAGGGAAAGGATGGGGCAAAGGAGAGGAGAGAATAGAGAGGGGAAAAAAAACAACGAGAAAAGAAAATAGGTGAAGAAAAGGAGGGGAAAGAAAAGTATGAAAAGGAGGAAAAGGGAAAGAAGGAAAAGGAGGAAAATAAGGAAAAGAAAATAGCGGGGATAAGAAGGAAAAGCAGGAAAATTAAAAAAAAAAAAGGAGGAAAATGAAAGGAAAGAAAAGGATGAAAAGGAGGAAAAGGAAAGCAAAACCCGCGGAGAGGATGTCACCTTTGTGTCCCCCACCTCAGGCCCCTTTTTGCTGCAGAGCTGGAGGAGCCAGCGGTGGGGGCACGCCCGGCACTGGCACCCAGGGGTGCAGGAGTCATTAAAACCCACATAATCCCCCCAAAACCACTGGGCGGGAAGTGGGAGGGGTGGTCTGATCCCCAGATCCCCACCCCGCTCTTTCAGGGCTTTCTCGAGATCCGGGTCCTGGTTTTTCTCAGGAGAGAGAGCAAGAGGGAACAACCGCGAGCTCAGAAACCAAAGCCTAAACCTCAGAAAATAAACCCAAAAGAAAAGGGAGATCAGGACGGGGGGGGACCCCCACCCCGAGCACAGCGCAGCAGGAGCGCCAGAAAATCACCCGGAGATGGAAAACGCCGATAAGGCGATTTTCACACCCAAAAAAACAGCGGCGGAGAGAAGCAGGTGACAAAAAAGAGCTGAATCGACAAGAAAAGAGCGCGGAGGGAAAAGCTGCGCCCGGGGAGGGGGTGAGGAGCCAGCCCTGCCTCAGCTCCCCCAGCCCAGCGTGGTGAATTTGGGCTTCAAAAAATAAAGATTTTGGTGGTGGGGGAACGTGAATGGAGATATTTGGGAGTTTAAATTTCCGTGGGTGCTGCGGGAAGGGGCTGAGAGGGGTGGGGGGCGATCCGGAGGTGAGCTCGGGTGAGGGAATTGATGGAGGTGGAGGGAACTGATGGAAGTGGAGGGAATTAAGGAGGGGAAGGGAGAGGCGGGAGCCCCCCGGGAAGGATCCAGCCCCCCCCGGGTCCCCTCGCTCTGATCTGCGCCAGGACGACAGAAACGGCGACAGCATCCAACACCTCCGGAGCGGCAGGCACGGCTCGGCCCCAAAACAGCCCCGCTCCTTCCCGGGCCGCGTGTCACCTCCCGTCTGTCACAGCCCGGGCCCGCTGTCACCGCCCGCGGGGGGACAGCGGCGGAACGGCGCCAGCGCCGAGAGAAAGCGGCGACAACCGGAGACCTCGGGGGTTTGGGGGGGTCCGGGGACACCGCCACCGCCTCGGCGCCGCTCGGTGCCGCTCTCCCGGCAGCCGCGAGCCGTCAGTGCCCTCTGCAGGCAGCGCCGAGCCCGCACCGGGCACCGGGACAGCGCACGGGCACCGGGAACCGGGCACCGGGACAGGGCACCGACACCGGGAACCGGGCACCGGGACAGGGCACCGACACCGGGAACCGGGCACCAGGACAACATTTGGCACCGGGAACCGGGCAGCCCGCACCCGCAGCCCCGCTCAACCCCAAGCCCCTGGGACACAGAGGGGTTTTGGGGAGCGGGATCCCCCCGCTGCAGCTCTTCCATGCGGGGACCCCCCCGGGACCCCCGCCCGGAGCTGTGGGGTGGCCGCCGTGCCCCGCAGGCGGTCCCGTGTGTGCCCCCCCGCCCTGCCCGCCCTCGGGGGGCTGCCCCAGCCCCCTCCCAGCACTTACTGGTCGTCGCCCACCTTCTTCACCCAGGCCATGTCCCGCTCCGACTGCTCCTGGGGACAGCAGAGCCCCCTCAGCCCGGGACCCCCGCCCAGCATGGGGGGTCCCGTGGGGTCAGACCCTGCCCCGTTCCTGCTCCCAGACCCCCCCGCCACCCAAAGCCCACTCAGTGGGAGCAGCCCAAGTTCTGTGGGGTCAGATCTGCCCCATTCCCTGCTCCCAGACATTTCCCAGCACCCAAACCCCACATACCAGGAATGAGGGGTGTTGTGGGGGGTCAGACCCTGCCCCGTTCCTTCTCCCGGACCCCCCCGGCACCCACCCCCCCAGGCAGGCCGGGGGCGCTCCCGGGGTCCCCCACCTGCTCGCGGGTGTCCTGCAGGTGCTTGAGCTCGGCCTGCAGCCGCTCGCACTCGGCCTTGAGGTGCTCCTCGCGGTGCTGGGCGCGCTGGTTCTCCTGCCGCGCCGCCTCCAGCTCGGCCTCCAGCCCGCGGCTCTGCCAGCCCCCGGCGCGCTCCAGCACTGCGGGCACGGCCGGCACGGCTCAGCCCGGCACGGCTCAGCCCGGCTCGGCCCGGCACGGCTCGGCCCGGCACCATCCTCGGCTCAGCCCGGCACGGCCCGGCACGGCACGGCCCGGGGGGCGCTCGGGGCGGGGCGGGGAGGGGCGCTCACCGTGGCTCAGGCCGGGGTTGGGGTGCAGGGCCATGAAAGGCACGTCCTGGCCGCCCAGCCCCGGGAAGGCGCCGCCGTCGCGCTGCCGCAGCTGCTGCTCCAGGCTCCGGATGCGGCTCAGGTGCGTCTCCACCAGCGCCCGCTGCACCGGGAGGGGACGCGGGGCACAGGGGCTGAGCCTCGGCCACGCTGCACCCCCTCCCCGGGCTCAGCCTGCCCCCCCAGCCCGGCACTCGCGGGTTTTGGGGTCGCTTTTCGGGGTGGGATGGGTCTGGTGACAGTGGCAGGGCAGGGGTGGCTCCGAGGCTGGGGAAGGGGAGCCGGGGGTGCCCGGCTGGCACCGGGAGCCTTGGCAGGGGGCAGCGGGAAAATGAATAAATCTGAGCATCCCTAAAGCCCCAGCGCGGCCCCCCAGCCCCGCGTCCCCGAGGATGGGGACACCACGGGCCTGTCATGGAGAGGGGACAGGGACCCCGCTGTCCCCTGCCGGCGGCTGCCACCCACCATCTCTCCCAGCTCGGTCTCCAGGTCCGCCTTCTCCACGCACAGCTTCTCGTAGGCCTGGATCATCTCCTCCAGCTGCTCCTCCCGCTCTTTGCTCTTCTGCAGCTGCCGGGGGGGATTTGGGGGTGGGTGACCGGCCCGGGGACCCCCCAAGGCCCCCCCAGACCCCCCGTCCCCGCTCACCTCGTGCTGGAACTGGTTGAGCTGCTGCTGCAGCGACGCCTTCTCGCTCTTGAGCAGCGAGTTCTCCTTGGCCTCGTAGAGGGAGAAGATGTGCTCCTCGCCGAACTCGCCGATCAGGGGGTACTGCGGGGGGGGGCACAGCCGGTCAGCGGGGTCCCCCCGCCCCGCGCGCCCGCCCGGACTCCCCCCGACCCCTCACCTTGACCTCGTACATCTTGAGGCGGCGCTTGAGCGTGGAGTTCTCCCTCTCCAGCCCCGTGAGCCGGTTCTTGATGTCGTCGTAGGCGGTGATGAGGGCGAAGTGCGAGGCCGAGCACATCTCGCCCGACAGGTCGGTGTTGGGGCTGTCCAGCCAGTCCTCGTCCGGCCCCAGCCCCTCCTGCGTCAGGATGCTGATGTCGTCCTCGAACATGGAGTCCATGTCCTGCCTGCGGGGACACAGCGGTGACAGCGGGGCAGGGCCGGCCCAGCCAGGGGACACCAGCGGGGGTGGCCCAGCCAGCCCGGGTGGGTCAGGGCGGGGTCCGGGGGAGCTCAGCCCGTCCCGGTGGCACCGGGTGACAGTCCCAGCAGCTGCCACCAGCAGCGGCTCCAACCCCGCGCTGCCCCGGGGGTGACAAGGGGACCCCGGCCATGCCATGCCATGCCACCACCGGGCAAAGAGGGGACAGAGGTCCCGGTACCTGCACCCCGGGCAGAGCCCCGGGGGGACACGGTGACATTCCTGCCGTTCCCTCGGGGGAGCGAGCACCAGAAATAGCGGCCGGTGCCGCCGGTGCCGCACGGGAGCCGCTTCCCGGCCTCCCACGCCTCGCGCAGCCGTGCCCTAAATACCGGATCTGCCGCTCGCCCCCCGGAGCACCCGGCTCCCGGCACTGCCCCCAGCCCCCCGGGACCCCCGGGACCCCAGCCCCGCGCTGCCGCAGCGCTCACCCCGCGCGGGGCTCCCGGGATGTTTCCCGGTGGGAAAAGCGCCCCGGGCCAGCGCAGCCCGCTCTGCCGCTGTCCCTGTCCCTGTCCCTGTCCCCTGTCCCTGTCCCTGTCCCTGTCCCTGTCCCTGTCCCTGTCCCCTGTTGATGGCACAGGGCGGGCAGAGGGAGGAGAGCTCTGCCGGGTGGCGGGGGGGACAGCCCGGCCCCACCGGCACCCCCAGCCCGGGGGTCCCCCGGGCACCTGGGAGTAGAAATCAGGGACCAGGGGTCTGAAATCCGCCCCGGGGCGGTGACAGAGGGGACACACCTCTGCTCGGGCAGGGAGGGCACTGCCATCACCCCCTGGGGAAACTGAGGCACCCCCAAAGCCAGGATGAGACTCGCCAAGCTCTGGTGACCCCCTCCCCCCCGAATGAAGATCCCCGGAGCCCTGGGAGGCACCGTGGGGACAGGACCCTCTTTGTCCCCAACACTCAGGGCCTGCAGGCAGCCGTGTGTCCCCAGCCCGGCCCAGAGCTCCCCGGATGGCCGTGCCTCAGTTTCCCCAGCCCCGGGACACCCGGAGGGCCGTGCCTCAGTTTCCCCAGCCCCGGGACACCCGGAGGGCCGTGCCTCAGTTTCCCCAGCCCCGGGACACCCGGAGGGCCGTGCCTCAGTTTCCCCAGCCCCGGGACACCTGCCTTGCAGCGGGCCCCAGGCGCGGGGCGAGGCGGCGCGGGCTGGGCAGGGCTGCGGCGCGGGCACGGGCGTGTCACAGGCGTGTCACAGGCGTGTCACCCGCGTGTCGCCCGCGTGTCACGGGGCTGGCACAGGCGAGTCCCAGCTGTGGCAGCTCCGCACATCGGCCGCGAGGGGATCGGCGGGGCCGGGGCCGCTCTCATCGGTTCCCGGCGGGGTCCCCGCGGCTCCGCCGCTCCCCCCGCGCTGCCGGGCCCGCCTGGAGGCCTGCGAGTGCCTGGGGAACAGAAACGGGGCTGGAAAGAGCGAAAATGGGGCTGGAAAGAGCGAAAATGGGGCTGGGGAAAAGCTGAAATGGGGTTTGGGAAAGAGCACAAATGGGGTTTGGGGAAAGCAGAAATGGGATTTGGGAAAAAACAGAAATGGGGTTTGGGAAATGAGGAAAAATGGGGCTTGGGAAATGAGCAGAAATGGGGCTGCGGCTCCCAGGGACTGGGACACCGCTGGAGGGCCCGGCCGGCTCAGGGCTCCGGTGGGAACGGAACGGGAACGGGGATGGGGATGGGAACGGGAACGGGAACGGGAACGGAAACGGGAACGGGAGCGGGAGCGGGAGCGAGGATGGGATGGGAATGGAGATGGGAACGGGGACGGGGACGGGAACGGGAGCGGGCATGGGATGGGATGGGATGTGCCAGGCTGCGGGTGCTGCCGGGCGCTGGCACCAGGCTGGGTTAGGGACAGGGCTTGGCCCCCCCAAACCCTTTTTGGGGTCGGGAGGATGCCGGTTCGGTGGGACCCGGCCTGGGGCAGCCCCCTCCTCACTGCTGGGACCCCCGGGCGCTGTCCCGGTACTGAGGGGCGGGGGGGCCGCGGGGGGGGCTGGGGGCAGGAACGGGAACGGGGATGAAGATGGGAATGGAAACGGGAACGGGAACGGGAGCGGGCATGGGATGGGATGGGATGTGCCAGGCTGCGGGTGCTGCCGGGCGCTGGCACCAGGCTGGGTTAGGGACAGGGCTTGGCCCCCCCAAACCCTTTTTGGGGTCGGGAGGATGCCGGTTCGGTGGGACCCGGCCTGGGGCAGCCCCCTCCTCACTGCTGGGACCCCCGGGCGCTGTCCCGGTACTGAGGGGCGGGGGGGCCGCGGGGGGGGCTGGGGGCACCGCCACGGCCACGAGCGAGGGCAGCGGGCTGGAACCGGGGCGGAACCGGGGGAACCGGGGCAGAACCGGCGGGCAAAGGGGGACGGGTCGAGCGCGCTCCCGATCCCGGAGCCAGGCCCGGAGCGCGGACGGGGGTCGCAATAGGGTGAGCGGGGGGGGGTCCGGCCTGCGGCGGCCCCGGAGCCTCCGGGAAACCGTCCCCGAACGCCCCCGGGCCGGGCCGGGGCCGCGCCGCGCCGGGGGTCGCCGGGCGGGGGACGGGGACGGAAACGCAGGAGGGTCCGGGGCGGAGCCGGGACGGGATGAGGATGAGGATGAGGATGAGGATGGAGCCGGGGATGGGGATGGAGCAGGAGATGGGGATGGGAGCGGGATGGAAGCACGGGGGGAGATGGGCACGGAAGCGGGGATGGGGATGAGGGTGGGGATGAAGATGCGAATCCAGCCGGGGATGAGGATGGGGGTGAGGATGAGGATGGAGCCGCGGATGAGGATGAAGCGGGGATGGTGAGGGCGGCGGGGCAGGCGGGCCGGGGCCGGGGCTGGGGTCTCGCTGTGGCGGGAGAGGACAGGCCCGGCGGGGCGGGGGCTGCCCGCT